AAAAAAAAATATATATTCTTACTTCGATTATAGTACGTAATTCTTCGACATACACTTGTTCAGTAACTAAAAGTTCTGTTACAACATGTCTAATAAAAAAAACCAAATCTTCGATTATTATAATAAAAAAAAAAAAAGAATTTTCTTACCTCTGTTTTTTATCCATTTTTGTATTATGATTTATTATTGATTCATTATTTAATGATGATAATAAACGATTAGAATCCATATCAAATTTTGAAATATGTTCATTTATTTGTTGTTGTTGTGAAATTGGTGTTATTGTTGTATCAATTAAATTAAATGATTCATTTTGTTGAAATGGTAATGGATGAACATATTGTATTGGTCGATAAGTAGATTTAACAAGATGACGAAGTTGTTCACATCGTTTTTCACATAAATCTCGAATGTCATTTACACGATTAAATACTTGAAGTATCATAGACTATAAAAAAAAAGAAAGATAATTTCAAAGTATCGTATGAAAATTTTTATATCAAAATGAAATTATAGTTATTTGCAGTTAGCAAACATTAAGTTCATGACTAAAAGTTAGAGGATTTGAGTTTGATATTTTTTCTAGATAATCATGTAATTATAAAGGTTTTGTAAGAATATTTGTTTTCTTTTAAAGCTATAGCACACAATAAATTAAATTTTTGATTGAAAAAAAAACTAATGAGAGAGTCTCGTCAAGTTTCAAATCGCTTTGCGACTGGGACGGTGTTCATTTTAACAAAAAGCTGTGATCTCTCTTGCGAGGGAACGTCTTCAACTGACAAATCGCTTTTGAGTTCGGTCTCTGTGTACAAGGTAGACTCCAGTAAGATATCAAAAAATCCCAAAAGGATAAATTCCTTTAAGCCTTCTGTCCAGAGTGATAGGCATTGTATTGGAATTTTAGTCTATGTCATAGTATAAAATTTCAGCTCGAGAGAGTGTTTCCTTCATGAGATGTTAAAGACCCAATAATCACTCATATTCTTTTAGAATCGAAATATCTCGGAGAGGAAAT